ACAGCACAACAATGTTTCGAGAGAGCAAACAAGGTACCCTGTCAAATACTGTATTTAGTGTGACATTATCACGAATAACAGCTGAGAATTTGGCGTTGCACGACGTGTAGTGCATCCAAGCAATCAAAGTTGGGCAAGTTGGTACGGCAACATCTGGACATCCCACACAAAAGAAATGACAAACGAAGGCGCATGCGCCAGACCACCTTATTCCATTCTTGAAATGACAATTTAACTGAAAAGATACTTGATTCATTATCCAACAGATTCACGGAAAATGCACTTACACACTCAGCTCCTGCTTTGCGGATCAAAAAAGCTTCATATATTTCACGTGTCCTCTTGTACTTATATCTTGCCATTACTTGGCATTCATCAAACTTCCGAGTGCACCTACAGTCCGCACAGTGACTTGCCAAGTGGATGTCTACTGATCCGCGCATCAGATTTGCGTGCTCCTTAAGGCAATCGTTCAGTGCCCCGTCTGACCGATGTAGTATCGACCACATGATAAATAAATCAGATACCCAATGCCTATAATACATTCTTGAAACATCTTTGCCTGCTTCGTATTCCACCCGACACTAAAAGATCCGTCTTAGTTAACTCTTTTACAAAAAGAGCTCAGCTTGTTTTTTGCCGTGAACGCAACCTTTACCCCAGTTTTTTCAACGATTCTTTTTAAGCAGTGAGAAACTTTGTGCACATAAGGAATAGCAGACACTTTCGGATTTGGCTCGTCCTGAGATGCGTGCCGTGCTTTCTTGCCCCGCTTCAATGCATTCAGAAGTGATTCTGTTATGCAAGAAAGCAGGTGATCGGAATAGCCTGCTCTCTTAAATCTGTTAACTTGGTTGCCAAAATTGCTCAGAACCTGGTGATTACAAAACCTTGACAATGATTCCTTCATGCACGTTTTGGCAATTCCTCGCTTAACAAGCTTAGAGTGCGCTGAACTAAAGGGTAACAGGGCTTTCTTGGAGCGAGGAGCGTATTGCCAGCACACGTGTTCTGGCAGAAACATAAGCTCTAGGTCTAAAAATCTAAGTCTGTTATTGTCAGGGAACTCGGTCGTCAGCTGCAATCGTCGGCGTGCTGCCTTGTGTCGCACTGTTGTGCACTTGAGCGGAATACCTTAGCGGTATGTGTCTCATCAAGATTCGCTGGTATGCGTTTGTCATAACGAGCCAATAAAATGTCACTGAGGACTGGAGCTAAACATTACGCAATACACACGCCCTGTCTTTGAATGTACCATTTGTCTTTTCTGGTGACGAACGTCGACTGCAAAGAAAAGTTGAGAAGTTCAAGGAAGCTTTCTACGTCAGTTCCACAAGGTGTACAAAAACATTCTCATCATAGCGCTGGATTCACTCTTTCACCTCCTCGCACAGAATGTCCTGAGGTAGGGAATAAAATAAGTCCTTAACGTTCACGAAAAAAGCACAAGCACTTCTGGGAACACCTATCACGTAGAAAGTCTGAGATGTGCTGGGGTTTTCTTACGATGAACAGATCTTCAATGGTGATGGCTGTAATATGCATTAGTAAATACCTTCCAACAAGTTTTTGCCAAGAGTCACACTCCGATATCATGACTCAAAAAGGACACTGTTTCTTTGTGGATCTTGGCCATGATGGACACAGAAAGGCTTGTACCTTTACTCGTCCTCACCGACAGGGCCAGTCTAGTGAACCCCGCTATTTCGCACGGCTTCTCAGCTTCTCGTTTTACTTTTAAAAAAACACAAGTGGCTTTCTGGCTGACCATTGCAGGCGTCGTGGCTACTATCCCGACTTTCGCAGCACACAGTTTTTAAAGATAGCGAGGGATAAATGAGAGCGCGGGATTGTAGGGGCTTTTTTCATTAAAGACGCAGGTAATAAATGCGTGAGCAGGCCCTCCATATCTTTGTCTGACGCAAAAATTATGTATCTTAGAGGTTTTGTTTGATTGTCGATTCTTACCTTTTGTGTTCGTGTTCCGTCTTAGACAAGTGTTTCTCACTCATCACGCATGCGTGAGTTTCTTAAGATGTTTTTATTGTTCGTATGGTTTCAAGTTTCTTATTTTCTTTCACTGGTTGAAACCAACCTTGTTATCTTGTGTTTATACTCGTCACAATCACGTGTCTTTCTTTTTATTTTGTGGCACATATATATGCGCAGGTTACGGCCTTGAAGGATCAGTTGTTAGTCAGCGCTTTGTCTCTCTGTCTTTTTTTCCTCGTGTCGTTGTGCTGCCCTTTTCAAAATGAGTAAGGTGTTTCATTCGACTGTTTTTGAGGTGCATGAAGTAGACTTTATTTCATACAGTGGTATAGTGTCAATGCTTTTTTGAACTTAAAAGCAGCAAAATAATGTGGCCCAGTTGATATCTTATTTACGTTTCTGAAGAGATGCATCGAAGTTATTGGTCGGTTTCTTTTTATACTGTTTCGAGCTTCCTTGTTCTCGTCTAAAGTGCCTAAAAGCTAGAGGACGGCTCGATTGGTGCCTGTTTTAAAGAGAGAAATCGTTTACCGGTATTAAACCATCGGCCAATATCATTAAACTCGTCTTGCTGCAAGCTACTTGAGCATATTATTGCCAACTAAATCACAGAGGTTTTGTAAATAAATTCAATTTTAGCAGATCGCCAGCAAAGCTTTAGAAAAGGCTATTGGACTACACCCCAACTGTTAACTGTAGACCATTCATTTGTGAAACGTTTAGATAATAATAGTGAAGTGGGCGCTCTCTTTTTAGATTTGAGGAAGGCATTCGACCACGTGGTTCATTATAAACCTATTCAGCAACTGAGAGACTACAATCTTTTAAGCATTTTAATTTCTTGAATAGCAGCGTATCTTTCAGATCGTGTACAGTTTCTTGCCATTGAAGGCATCACTTCGAGCTGTCTCCCAGTAACAACTGGTGTACCCCAGGGCAGCGTCCTCTAGGAGCTGTTGTTTTTACTTTATATAAATGGCATTGTCACCTTCGTTATGCCAGGTGCACAGTAAGATTGTTTGCGGATGATTTCGTTTCATTCCGGGAAATATCTACAGTGCATGACCAGACAGACCTTTGATGTATAAAACAGCTTGAAGAACATACACTCTTGGTGTGCCAGGCCAGGCATGGTTTCAAACAAGGACAATATTCTTATAACATGCAAGAAAATTCCACTAAATTACACCTACACACTGGCCACTTCACCCCTTAGAAACGTTGAAAATTTCAAATACTTAGACGTAACAGTCACGAACAATTTATCGTGCAACACACACATTAGCAATGTTTGTTCCTGCGCCTTCAGTAAACTTTGCTTCCTAAAACACAAACTTCGAAATTCACCTACCAGCATCAAATTACTCGGTTATATGTTATTATTCCGACCCAAGTTAGAGTACGCTTGCATTATTGGGATGCACTAGACACAACATTAAAATATTATATATAATTCGGAGAAAAGGTGTTCGGTTTATTTACTCTAAGTTTGAGCACACCGATTCTCCCACACTGCTCATGACAGAAATTGACATACGGCTGCTGGAAATACGCCGCCAGATGCTGCGCCTAAACTTTCTACAAGCTATAATTAATTTTGAATTATTCATAGACCATGTGTTATATGTGTCTCCCCTGTTCACGAGGCGTATCTGTGATGATGACACACATGCTTTAGCCCCTCATTTTGCAAGGACAGATGCTTACAAATGTTCTTTCTTTCCAAGAACATTGTGTCAGAATGAACTCTAGGAATGAACCTTCCTACAGTAGCTCATTACCCCTGTCTTATTCTTTGTATCACCGTATTTTTTGTACTCATTGTGTCTGATTCCTATTATCTTCATATTGTCGTAATTATATATTGGTGTGATGTAGAATTTCTTGTTAACATATTAGGGTTCTTTCTGCATTATGTCTGAGGTTTTTGTATATTGTTTGGACTAAATGTATTCATATTTTGTATTTCACTTCTTGTTCTGTATTTAAAATCAGTGCCCTTCCTACAAACACAGAATCGTGGTCTGCCGTATATTATAAATAAAATGTGTAGCGTTCATTGGACTGTTATATAACAGAGGAGGCAACACTGGGTCCGAAATTGACATTAATCTGACAGCACGCCCGTATCATAGCAGTGGAGCGCATAAGCATAGCTCATTACCTTTTCAGAAAAAAAACAGATAGCTAGCACTGCTATCACAATTGAAGTTGCACACACATAACTCTTGCCCCGCGGTGGTGGTCTAGTGGCTAAAGTACTCGGCTGCTGACCCGCAGGTCGCGGGATTAATCTCGGCTGCGGCGGCTGCATTTACGATGGAGTCGGGAATTTGGTAGGCACGTGTGCTCAGATTTGGGCGTACGCTAAAGAACGCCAGGTGGTCTAAATTTCCGGAGCCCTCCACTACCGCGTCCCTAATAATCATATGGCGATTTAAGGATGTTAAACCCTACATATAAATTAATCAACACACATAACTCTTGCGTGCGGACTTGGTCTAAAGCAGTTTCAAGGCATGGCGTGGCCCTGTTTTGGAATACTTGACTGACACACAATGCCTTGGCTCGATTTCTATTGCCATACCGATTTCAATTTTTTGCAGTTTTTGGGTCAACGTGACTGATGCATCGATTTCTTTGCTCTCTGACGTTTAAATAAGCAATGTCTGTCCGCGCCATCACTGGTTATGTGGAGAACGTAAAAAACTTGTGACGCATACGTGCATACTGCCGCCCGTGGTATACGGGCATCTGCCATACGTGAGAACAGAACAATGGTTTTATCAAGTGCACGTCAAGATGTTCAAACTATTCATGTGACTGCTAGACAGTCGTGTTCATATGCTATCTCCATACTCTACTACGCAAACGTATATATGCGGCTAGATACAGATATATGTAGATATAGATGCTCAAAATAGCAGTTTGCCTTGCTAAGGAATGCTTCGCACTTAAAATCACTAGTACATACAGAACAAGCTCAGAAATTTCCCAAGAAGAGGAAAGACCAATTTTAAGAAGTTTATTGATACACTACAAATAAAAGAACGCATGAATAAAACACACTAAAATTATCTTTACATTGAAAGCTAAACCACCATCTCTGCATCTCGGCAGATACTCTCAACAATGAAGACCTTCAGACGCTCGACTCTGGCTGTGACGTTGCAGCAGAAGTGGTTCGTTCTCTCATCGCCACCTTTCTCTCGCTTGTTATCGACTTCATCAGAAGCCAAGAACCCGCGATGCCTACCGCCAGTGATCCGACTGTCACAGCTGACAACGCACTGACCAGCACCGAGCTTTCTCTCGCCAAGGCGATCACTGCTTTCAGGCAGCCCTGCGTGTATATCACAGGCTCCACTGAATGCAACGTCCGTTTAGTTGTGTCCGTCACGCCATAGCCGCACATCACATTGGGCAGGCGTCTCTGCTCCCTGCAGCAAGAATAAGGCACGCCACAGCGTTCCCGGCTCGGGTTCCACCGAGAGCAGTGGAAGTACGCGTTGTGGTGCCAGTCCAGATAGCCCCGGGAGGAGATACCGCAGCACCGAAGCGATGCCTGGAGCGTGTTGATGAGGTGTTCCATGTCAGGATCATCCCTGTAGATTACGACGGCTCGCCTCAAGATATTCTCGACACCTGATCTATTTGGCGGCGTCGATGTGGACCACACGAAGGCGAGCACGGCCACGAGGACGACCGCGACAGCGATGGTGGACAGCGAGAATCCGTAGAGACACAGGAAGTTCTTGTTCTCGCGCAGAGCTCCTACGCATCCGAGTGCAGCTATGATGAAAACCAGGCAGCCAACGACTATGAAGAAGACAGCAGGGTCGAAGGTCAGGTCCACGTAACGGCGCAAAATTCGTACTTTGACTGTTAGGAGGTAGCCGCCCGTAAGTGCAGTTACACCACCTATAAGCCAGTAGATAACGTTCATAATGAACAGCAATCCTTTGAGAATAAGACGGACAGACATGGCAAGTGTTCGCGTGCAGTAACACTGTGTGGAGCGGGCGGGTTGATGGCTCTATTTGAAGAGAATATTGAGCATGCGCATTTAGTTTTTTTTTTTTTTGGCTTTCTGACACTGCTGCTAAGTTCCTACTTTTAAACAGTAGGGCGGTAGAAGCGACGCGCATGTTAGTGACACCATGTTCGTGCATTTGCAGAGTGATGGTCACGCCAATGCCAACTTTATTTTAATGTCAGTGTGAACGCGCGCTTATCAACCGGAATGGTCGGTCCGCCTTAGTTCAGGGAATGGTCACGATGCGACGCTTCATAAAGGGTCGCGCTGCTTGCGCCACACGTGCTTCCGAGTGCTTTCCTCAAAGATGCGATAGACGTGTTGCCCACTAAAATATTGTATGCTCTTAAATTCATTCCTTCGTGCTCTTTTTGCGTGGCTCGAAGCAACGCCACCACCACATCATGGCGCATCGCATCTAGAAGCGTTGCAGTGATGCTTCCCCATAAGGAAGCCAGGCTCAAGTTTGCTCAGCCCCGATAGCAGCATTAGCGGAAAGAGGGCAAAACACTGGTCACTAGGATAGGCCACGCTTGCTGGGTTTTCCCATTGCGCGCACGGTGCACGTGTTCCTTTGGGCGCTAATCTCGCATTTTGCACGCTATAGGCGCCGCTCCTTCACCTTCCTGAAAAGCAGGCACGCTGTACTGCTGCATTGTTAGCTGCTGCAGAGGTTTAAACATGACAAAGACCTGAAAACTGCCCATTAAGTTCTACTCCCGTATTCAGAAATGCTCCTCGACTCCATTTTCACCCTTCATTTGACAGAGTTGAGCACTGCGCCGCTGCTCGGCCGAAAATGATGCTGCGCTGCTCAAGAATCGCAGCATATAATCGCTGATATGCAGTGACTTGCCGTGCCTAGAGACGGCGCTTCCATCGGCTTTCTCAAGTGAAGGTGAAGCGTTGAGTAAAGGGATGTTCTAGAATACGGCGGCTACTGTCGCCAATTCAAGCAGTGAGAGAAGAAAAAGGCGTCAAGAGTGAAGTATGGCAGTTAGCCGGCACTGCGCGGTCTCGTTACTTTGAATTATTTTAGTCGTGCACAGCACTACACACTATTCCCTGAAAGAGACGCGATGGCCGGGCTCATACTAAATGAAAGCTCGTTTGTATACTGAAACTACAGCAAATAGGCAACCGCTGTACATTGCTCGATTATGTTCTAGCTTTCCGAGACGACCATTGGTAGTGTGAAAACGGCGGAGCTCGCTAGCTTAATACACCACTGTTAAAACACCGTAGTGTGAGCCCTGCAGTTGACGGCTAAGAACGACGAGTGGTTAACAACTGTTAACCACTCGTCGCCGCTCAGTGTAAACTGCTTTATGTGGTGGGTTCGCACTGAGCGTTTGAACGTACAGGTCTTGCAAGTAACACTCACCGATAAGTTAGCATGCTGAGCTGTAGCGATGCTACGATCGAAGTCATGAGTTCATTTCCCGCATACGTCAGCTGCGTTTCCAAGGGAGCGAAACGCAGTAACAATGCGCTCAGATTTTGGCGCAAAAATAAAAGACAGGGCGCACTGGTGCTGCATAATACACGTGTAGGGTGGTATGACGCTCCATGTAAACAGAAGTGACGCTCGGTGTGGTGGGCCCTCTGTCCGTTGTCGTCACGCCTTACACTTCAAAAGATATTTAAGTGCACGTTAAAAAAAACTCAGGTGGCCTGAATCAATCTGCAGTCTCTAATCACGGCGTGCCTTCTAATGACATGATGGCTTTGGCACGTAAATTATTAACACCTTGCATGCGCTCGAGCCGCGGGTGGTATACGGCGGACGCTATGAAAACAAGTTTTCATAACGGCAGCCGTGTGTGTGTTTGTCTTTTAGTGTTCAATTCTAGCGTGTAGTAAGTGCCGACCATGTACAAACAACTAGCCCCTACCCTGGCCCTTCTAACTGAAAAAAGAAAAAATTTTGATGGTTTCACGAAATTTGACGCTGTTATCAGGGGCAAATCTTGGCGGAACTAAATACGTACTCGATATTAGTGGGTATTGTATGGTAGGACGAAGACCAGGTGAGCTGTCAACATGGGCGTTTTAGCCGCAGAGGCAAGAGAGAGCGCTAGCTCCCCCGCCCCCTCACTGAAAAACGTTGGGGGCGCTGCCCCCCCCCCCCTTTTTTTTTAGACAATGGTCCCTCTTGGCTGCACGCTGGGGAAACCACCAAGTAAGGTGAAGTGTTCCGTCACAACAGTAATCACTCAGTTATGTTCTGACGAAAGAATGAAAATGTTACGAGAAAATGTTACAACAGAGTGAAATTTCGCCCATATTTTCGCTGTGATAATTTTTCTTGCAGGCTTTTTGCGGTGCGGGTCGCCTATGCGACGCTTTCGCGTCTTGTGCTGTAGTAATGCAGAACAGGCAAGTGCTGAACAGGGGCCATATAAGATTACGTCCTATGTTCATGCTTTTATTCTGCTGTGACTTGTTTATGCAGTTACAAGTGGGAACGAGCAAACTTTTTTAAAACCGGTAAAAGCACTTGCTGCTTCCAGAAAATGATTTTCTTCGAAACGGATATATCTTCACCGCTGCTCTGTCGAAGCTGTTGCGAGCTGATGAGAGTGACGAATCGTTTCTGATGTTTAAGTTTTTCCATACTGAAATGCCAAAAATTGCTTCCACTTTATTCTCTGATAAACCTGATCAGCCTTGCTTATTGTAACTTTGAGCAACAGCGGCAACTTGCAAAGTGGCCATGAATAAAGCAGTGCACTCGGGCTCACTAGGAAGCTCAGCTTGTAAGCTTGCCCCACAACTTGACCCACCGGACAAGGGAGAAGGTGAGAGACCATAGTTTGTAGCACAATTGAGGCTTAGTTAAAATACATCTTGGACAGCAAAGAAGCACAATCGTGCAGTGCTGCTTATTTCTTTCTATTTCTCTTTCTCTCAGAAAGTGTGAGCTCACAGAAATAAATACGCACACAAACTACTAAACAGTGTTATGCTGCAAGCATAAATATTTTATTATACTCATAATCCATCTCGCCACCTGCAATAAATAGTCGCTGCTTATGTGATTGGCGGCTAACCTACTTGAATTACATTTAGAAGGAGATATTCTCTCCAACTTTATGACGTCATTGAACAAGGAGGTGATATTGTCCCACAGAAAATTTTAAATACTGAAGAACCAATGGCAAACAAACAGTCGTATCGAAAACAGATTATCCTTTTATTCTTCACGTGGTCGTTCATAAGTGGTCATTACGTGATGGATCATTTTTGCTTCGATTTTTGCCTCGCGTAACAAGCTGGTGCTGTGTGCATCACAAAGAATGTTTACACCACCCATATACAGCTAACAACCATTTAGAAATGGAGCAACCAGGGTAGTTTAACGTTATATTCACACAAATTTTGTTCTTGCAAAGAAAAAATTTGCTTAGCCCGTTTATATTGGAGTATTTGTGCAGCTGCCTGGGGGCCCCTTATAAATGTCAATATAAATACAATGAGTGTAAACAATGTAGTATGCCCCTAACAATTTAAATTATACATTTTTAAATGAAAGGCTGACAAGGTGAAAATAAGTTATTTACAGTAATATAACAATAGCAATATATTATTGGTTGCACGCTCTAAAAATACTGTTCACACTAAAATAAAATATACACACAAGCCTGAATATATGCAAGAAAGTGTAATACTTGTAAAAAATGTTTAACAGCAATCACTAGTTGAGAAAACATGGTTGAGCCCTTCGTCATGAACATCGGCCTATGACAAGAAAGTAAAACGCGCCTTTACAGGGGTAACAAAATGTTTACTGTTCATTGATAGAGGAGGGTGTGCCGAATGTATGTCTTAGTGTTTGTAAACTAAAGCCCCGTTCAACGTGGGTGTATCTTCGTTGACGCTTGGTACATCTCCATACCGACAACTAACATCCGTGGTAAATATATTAAACAAACCATTGTGGTATCTCGATGTTAACTGCCAAAGCATAATTGGAAAAAGAGTCGTGATGGCAAGGTGAGCGTCGTATTTTGGACGCAAAAATCGGGCTAAAAACTTTGTGGTATCCAAGAAAGCGAGTCGTGTCAGCTGTGTGTATGCAAATTTGTATGCAACTGCGAGTTGTGTCCTTGAAGTTCTCTGTTTCTCTCTCTCTCTCTCCCTATGTATATATATATATATATATATATATATATATATATATATATATATATATATATATATATATATATATATATATATATTGAGGAAACTATACAAATGATGATGACCATGTCCAATTATAAAGAAGATCGGTGACTGCGCACACACTAATTCCCCGTCCGCTGGAAGCGCCTCCTGGCCGCGCGAGAGATAATATTAGGAATTGCGTCGGGTATACAGTTTCAGTCGAGAAATGGCCCAATTTCTGTCCCACCCGGCAAACGGTGTGTATGAGGGAGCGTTACGTGGTAAGATACGGTAATTAACGGGGACGTTCGTTCAATCAACCATACTAAGGTCCTGTAAAACGACTGAGGAACTTTTCACAATAAGCCGGGCACCCACGCGGGAGTCCACAGGAGAACTTCGCTCCTGGGGACAAGGGATGTTGATGAGCACGTAGAGTTGAGTCGTACGCGAGACTTGCGAGCTTCCTGAGAGATGTTCGGTGTTGATTCGGGCCAGAATGACGGCAGTGCTCAAGGCGGAGCCAAAATTGATGCGGATAAAAGGCCTGCTGAGTAACACGAGCCGAAAGGAAGGAGACCGCCCAGAGTGAACAACTTGGAGAAAACGGGCCATGGCACCGCAGAAAATAGGGAGAAAAGCATGGTGATGCGGTGCGTAGCAGTATTGTAGGCGAACGTTCGAATACAAAATGGGTCCCAGTTCGTGTGGGTCAAGGGTTTACGTTCATTGGCACTCATGTCCGAGAGGGTACGATAAAACGTTCCGTAAGCCATTCCTTTGTGGATGAGAAGTAGAAGTT